TTTTTTTTTTTTTTTTTTTTTTTTTTTTTTTTTTTTTTTTTTTTTTTTTTTTTTTTTTTTTTTTTTTTTTTTTTTTTTTTTTTTTTTTTTTTTTTTTTTTTTTTTTTTTTTTTTTTTTTTTTTTTTTTTTTTTTTTTTTTTTTTTTTTTTTTTTTTTTTTTTTTTTTTTTTTTTTTTTTTTTTTTTTTTTTTTTTTTTTTTTTTTTTTTTTTTTTTTTTTTTTTTTTTTTTTTTTTTTTTTTTTTTTTTCTTCTTTTTCCCTTCCCTTCCCTCCCCTCCCTCCCCTCCCCCCCCCTTCCCTTTCTTTTTCCTTTCCCCCCTCCCCCCCCTTTTTTTTTTCCTCCCCCCCCTCCCCCCCCCCCCCCCCCCCCCCCCTCCCTTCCCCCCCCCCCCCTTTTCTCTCTTTTTTTTTTTTTTTTTTTTTTTTTTTTTTTTTTTTTTTTTTTTTTTTTTTTTTTTTTTTTTTTTTTTTTTTTTTTTTTTTTTTTTTTTTTTTTTTTTTTTTTTTTTTTTTTTTCCCCTTCCCTTTTTCCCTTTTTTTTTTTTTTTTTTTTTTTTTTTTTTTTCTCTGATGTCGCAGACGTTACTACCAACATTTCAACATGAGTGATGTGAAATGGGTTCTTAGCGTAGTGTAATCGACTAATTCGAATGTATACGTTTAATTTCTGCTTTTGAGTAAACATTTTTGTAGAAAACATACTCATACATAACACAACCTTTTAGTATATTTCTAGTGTTTCTTTTTTTAAATTTCCCATTCTAGGGTTGCCTGGAAGAAATCGGTTGTTTGCGATAAAGCCGCCCGATGCCTAATAACTTAAGTTCTTTAAATGTGTGTTGAAGGTAACGAAGCGTAAATAAATAAACGTTTTGAATACTTCACACTGTGTGTGAACATAAAAACAATTATTTGTTTTTCCTTTATTTATTCCTGGTACAAAGTACAGCAGTATTCTGCATAACGTTTGACACTTTCATGATTTATCTCATGCCTGACCGAACGTAAATATTAACGAGTGTAAATATTTGTTGTTCCAGTTTACATTGTTTGTGGTGCTATCTCTTATATTTGCGACTGCGCCTTTACCCCTGATGTTGTTTAAACCTTTTGACCCCAAGAACGCGCTGTAAGTTATCTGTTGCATGCTCTATATTATCCTAACGAATTATACCTAAGGAGGATCTTAGCTATTTTTTGTACGTATGTTTACAAAACTATATTCCTTGTTACCCTGTACCTGTTTGCTGAAAAGTGTTTATTGAAATAAGTAAAATTTCGAGGATGCATTTATTTTTTTATTTCATTTAGAATACAAGTTTTGTAAGCATTTTGTACCTTTGGGACCCAGGCATACGGTGATTGCCTGGTCCCAATTGTCGATATATGGTATTTGATGATTTTGCCGAATTTTTTACCACCCACCAGAGGCGGAGAGTAAATTACAAATTTAATTATAATTTGCGCTCCGATCAGGAGTCAAACCCCATGGCGCATTGCCCGCTTATTACGAAACCACAGATACCAACGAACTAGCGTACAGATTTATGTTGACTTTGATACGATAACTTTGTCGTTTTTGTCAGTTCTTGAATTTTTTCTTCTCTCAAAAGTTCCGTAATTAATGACTTCGTTCCGTAGTTAATAGTTTGTGTCTAAGCGAAAACTATAAAAAAGTAAATTATACCTAATATATTTTAACGCCTTCGTGGCTTAGCGGTTAACGCACATGTATAACCCGGTTTGATTATCTGTTCAAAAACTCATTGAACATCAAGACTCATTGCCTATTGAAAGGTTACGGCAGATTAAATAACAACAAAGAATTCCTTTAAATTTCAATATTTTTGTGTATATTTTCATAGTAGGTATAGTACTTTTTTGAATTTACGGCTGGATCCACACTATAATGCCGTTCACGGTTCGCGGTCCGTTCGCGGTCTGGTAAAATGTTATTGAATGAAAAACAATGTATGCATTTATACTATACGTAACAGTCAAGTTACGGTCGAATCCAAATTATACCGAGATCGGAACCAGAGTCACCTGTGAACGGCAGAAGTGTCCAATTCAAAAAGGTTTAGTAATTTTAAACTTTTCGTTTGCGTTTTGTTCAGTTTGTGAATTGTTTTAAATATTTTAGTATACCAGCAGCTTTATTACGGATGACGGCTCGTATGCTCGGCATTCGTTGGACGGTTCGTGGAACCGAGAATGTTGACGATTCCAGGGGCGCTGTAGTCCTACTGAATCATCAAAGCAGCCTGGATTTATATGGTTTGTTTTATGCCTTTTTTAAATCTACATTTTAATTATTTTATTTAATACGTTATATAATAACAATTAGGTTTTTATTATAATAATCGTTACTATTTATAAGTCTATATATGTAAATAATTAATTATTTACGTGCAAGGTAAGTAAACATTTTCTTCTTTGTGCTATTTAAATTATATTTTACATATTTAATGAGCTTTCCGGGTTGCGGTGATTGAATTTTACTCTGATTAATAAATTATGTTTTGTATAGGTGCGTATTACGAGTATATATAAGTCATTATTGTAAATAAAATAAAATAATATTTGAAATCCCTAATATATATCTAACTGGGGTTGCCTTAATGATATCGCTTAATGGCGTTAAAGCCGTTAGTAACACCATATTTTTTTAAAATTTATTGTTAATATTGTTATTTAATTCTTGTACATTTGAGTAAATATTAATCGTTTCCCCAAAAACTTATTCACTTATGTCAAATGCAATACATTTTTCACATATAGGGGTACTTAGCGATGTATTTAGGTCTGAATCAGCCCTTTGTGTCTTACACGTCGTCAATTTTTGACCTACATCAATATTTCATTTGACATAGTGTTTACTGTTTACCAGTACCTACTTACTTATAGAAATAATATGTCGGTACATATTATTTTGTTTACATGTGTTATCTTAGAGTAATATTTATTTAAATTGTCAAAGTGTAAATAGTTTTCGATGTCGTATGCTGGGTAGGAGACATTGTTGGTTATCTTATGATTTTAGCTTGCAAACACTCATTAGTTTTTTTCATTGCATTTACACGACTCTACCGAAATATTATGCAATTATTAAATGAAATAACGATTCGTATTTATTAAGTTTTAATTACTAGTTATAAAAATTTATTTATATCCGGTTTCTATATAGGAAACGTCTAAGATAGAAAATCTACGATTCGTAGAAAATAACAATTATATATTTTGTTACTAAAACCTATAAGTCATCGTGTGTATGAATCTATCTTACATTTACCCAAAGCGTCAATAACCCAAACATTCATTTTGTAATCGATAAAATGCATTAACGATTCGTATTAAATCAGACGTTTAAATGAGTTTCTGCCCCATGCTACAGACATAGAGTTGATTGTCATTTAAGGACTTTACTATAATATGACGAATACTTGGACGTTGTAACGTTATAGATAAATTCAAATTTTATATTGATATATATATTACTTAACTTTATATTCATATATTGGTCATTGATTTTGGCAATAATTGTTGATTTTGACGTCGGAATGACTTTTCAAAAATGATGTGTATGGAACACATCATATTTGAAAAGTTAAAGGGTATTTCCGATATACACTGCGAGTACTGTATAGTGCTCCCACTTTTAAAAATTCGTTCCGCTATGGACTGCCATATACAGCCCAGCTCCTAGGGAAATATATGACGTCACAAACTCCCCCTATACTTTCTACTGCAGCACTGGCTTTTCGAGGTAAGGTACTCGCAGTGCTTTGATCACTATCAATCAAAACCACTTTGAATGCCTAACGGCTGATATAACTTACAGTTTAATAACAAACATTTAAAATTCTAATTAAAGAATTAGCTTGGACTAATTAATGAAACAATAAATATTAATTATAATGAGTAATACAGAAAGTTAATATAAGTTGAGTTATGATAAACAGACTTTTTCTAATTAAAAATACTTACTTTTTTTGTAGTATTAATTCAATTGACAGTTAATATTAATATAGATTTTTTAATGCGATATATCAATAATAGTTTTTCTTGTTGAATTGAAAAACTTTGATGCACTCATTTGAAAACTGTGTCGAAAAACGAAGCTGACTAGTATACTGGACTGCGTTCCGTTTTAAATTGTAACCAGTATAGCTGGCTATAGAGAAACGGTTTCACAGTATACTAAATTGACGGTACCCTGTCCAGTGGTCGCAGTGTATATCGGAACATACCCAAAATCTTTGAGGAGTATTTTACGTAACGTAAGAAAGACAAGAGAAGAACAAAAAACGAACGTGATCATTTGATTTTTATAATAGTCAAGTAGGTTGATCAGTGATCACCTTCTTCAACGTCTTCTGTCGTCACACGACGTACATTTTTAATTGTAAGTCATGGCTTTCCTCACGATGTTTTCCTTCACCATACGAGTGTTAATTGCGCATATAGACAGAAAGTCCATTGGTTCAGCCGTGATTCGAACTATGTCTTATACGTAAATATGGGCAATTATTACTGATACTGACAGCCCTTAAAAACCTTTTAATAATAACCAGGATATGACTTCTTTAATTTTTTTATATTCCATACTTTGTTTGATGAATGTTTGCTTTATACGTATAGAAAACAGACAATAGAGTAAATACTTTTTGAAAATTGTTTTTTTTTATTTTTGAGGCTAAATGAAGACGTTCATTTTTTTTCAGTATTGGCAGTGCTATGGCCTTTAATGGCGAGGTGCACGGTGGTGTCGAAGCGCTCACTGCAATTCCTGGTACCATTTGGCACCGCTGCTTGGCTCTGGGGCACAGTGTTTATTGACCGAGGGTCCGCCTCTTCAGCGCGTTCTGTGCTCAATCAACAGACTAAAGTTGTTCAAGAGGAAAGGGTTCGTTGTTTTTATATTGTTATATTATTTAATAATAATCTTTTAATTTTTAATAATAACGACCAAAGATTACGTGTTTCAAAGGAATAATATTAAAATATATATATATATAAGTAAGATTAAATTAATTAAACGTTTTTCATACTTTTTTGACGTTTTTAAAAATGTTATTAAATGCATTTGGAATGATGAGTCGTAGGTATATTTATTTATTTAGTTTTAATTACTACGTATCTGAATTTATATATGCTGTTTCTATATCAAGAACGTCTCAGACATAGAATAATATATGATTCGTAGAAAATACGTCTGATATTTTGTTATAAAACCTATAAGTATCGTATGTATGAACGTAAAGTATGGGTTTAAGAACGCGTCATACATAGTTAATAAACAGAGTAATATTGTCATAGGAAAATCTAAAGGAAAAGCGTCTAGAACTACGATTAAGCAAATTACTCACAGTGGGACATTAAATTTTCCTGTGTTCAGTGAATATGATAATTAAAAACCAGTAAACATATTTGTAAAATTAGTTAAGGTTTCATTCAATCCCATATTATGGAAGTATCTATTATTAGACATGATTTGTCTATATGTAATATGCAAATAATTCACTAAAGCAGGTAATATTTTAACGGGCAGTTCTTTACGGGTATTTTACTATTCGTTTTTTGTAAAGAGTTCTCATCGCTGTAATCACAGTTAATTTCGTAATCGAACGAAAAAAGCCCTGTCAACCTAAAGCTGTGTGTTCAATTTGTATTATGGGAGACGCAGACGGCAGAAGCATTTCTGCGTCTGGAATGGTAATTACAACATACCTTAGCCGGGGCTTGAAAAGGCCACAATGTGCGGTAATCACTAATGGAGCGTTCAAGTATTACGTCACGCAATTTTTGGAGATTATTGACACCCCCCCCTATGTAACGCACCCTAACGTTTTCTGTACCCAAATATAATAAAACGTTTCGTGACCACCTAGTAACTCTTTATACCTAAAAGTTACCATTATCCCCGCCCCGATCGTAACGTTTTACAAAAGGACCCCCCCAAAATTTGTTACGTAATACTTGAACGCTCCCTTAAGCTGGGTCCACATTTGTAGCATTTCGGTGTATCGTATCTCCGTTGCGTGCCTTCGGCGCGTATCATGGTCGTTTGTTTGGACCCAAAATGATACCCGTTAATGATACATGCCGTATCTGATACGGCCCGATTCGCACTAAGCGCGTATCTTTATACACCTCGTATCAGATACGCGTATCACGATCGATGGTATGGACGTATTTTGATACTGTATCACGATACTGTATCGCGATACGATACTTGATACACCGCGAACCATCCTGTGTCGGTTTTTTCGCGATCATCAAAGGGAATACACAACATCAATGGGTGACATGCGAGTGAATTTTCCACTGGTATGCTGAAATTTTAAAACTCGCAAAATGAGCTAAAAATCTCGCTCTCGAAATGGTATTCCACCATGTTTGTTTCGGTTTCTAAACACTTCAAGGTCCCATCAGCGCCGTCTATGTCTGGATTTAACTTTTTTTAAATACTATTAATGATTATATAACAGGCGCTAGTCACCGCCAAAGTGTGAGCAATTGCTGACATGGCTAAACCGTTTGGGAACGAAGACAATATGACTGAACCGTACGAGAAGGGAAAGGTGCACTGAAAGACACGCGCATCAGGAAAAGATACATCGGAAGAAAAGTGAAGCGTCTATATTTGTAAAGTTAAAGCCGATACACTGACGTGATACAGCATTTGATAAGTATGGACGCGTTTTTTACAAGATACGCCTTAAAAATACGACATGTACAAAATGAGCGTCCATATTTATGATACAAATACTAGATACGATACGACTGATCGTGATACGTCAACATGCTACAAATGTGGACCCAGCTTAAGCTACAGGGGATAATATTATTTACATTTCGTTACATAAACGCTAAATAGTAGGCGGACTTATTAACATGAAAAACACGGTATAACTACCATGTTTCAGGGGTAAATAGGTTTATTATTATATATATTTTTACATTTAAAAGCCATACAATATCTACTCTAATCAAATACCGTACATTTTCTTAGAAATACCGTTCTGTCCCGCAATTTGAATTATTTATTTAACGACGCATTTTTCTGTATGCATATTTTTCGTGCGGCTAATAGATCTGTAAACATCCTATTGTGTGCATAAGCAAAACATCATTTTGTCATTACTCGCATTATTCTTGCGGGTTTCGTAATTTGTTCTTCTATATATAAACTGTTTTCCTGATTCGCATAAACGATGAGTGTAGGTATGAAATGTATGAAGCAATGTCTAAGAGCGAAATTACTACAAAAGGAAAAACATTCCTTCCTCATTGCAAAAGTGACTTCAACTGTTCTATTTTCAAAAGTTTAAAACAATTTTATCTATGGAACTTCACATTAAGCTTAACTAGTCTATGACATGTGTACGATTTTGTGTCATATAGTAATCTTTAATTCAAAATAGATTCACATAATATATTAATTTGCAGTAAGTCATTTGAATAAAACTGCTTAAACGAGCGATGTATTTTGGGTCAACTTACTGTCATACGTAGATTTCAAAACAAGATACCATTTATTGCTGATAAGTAATTCAGTATGTAGAAAATTATCGTTTCAACACGCTTATTCCGATAACCTTCATATCGGGTTCCTAGATCTTTCGACTGAATAAAAAAATATATATTAGTATTATCTCAATTCTGTTTGTTATCATGACTTTCTATATATGGAACGTAAAATGATTCGAAGCATCTTGGTTGCGAACAAATACATATGTAATTTGGTCAAGGATTCACGATAATGTAAATTTTTAAAAGTTCAACTCATATATTTTATAGTTTACTACACGAATTCTATATGTTCGCGCTTCCGTTTGTTTTGAATGCGCTATAGCGATCTACAGTTGTCCTCTGAAACGCGCTAACAAAGTTATTCCGACCACTAAGGATATATACAACTTCTCGATTATAGCCACTGGGGTCGGCCAACTAGTGGTTATACTGGTCGAAGATTCTCCCTTTAGATCGGAGGAAGAACCGCACCTTCCTTCCTCCACAATGTCCAAGTGCTTAAGTTTTCCCTATAATAATTTAGATAGGATAATTTCAATCAATTAGCGCATTTCGAACTCGACCTTCGGGTAGCCGTAAAATGTTGTATACTCTCCTCTTCAAACTACCGAACCCACGGAGGAAAATTACGATATTCAAATTTCGATAGCAAAATTCAAGTGTTTACGCTGTGATGAAGATAAATCAGTGCTTAAGTTCATAAAGTATAATTAGATTAACGAACAACTAACACTTTAACTTACTTATAGACAGTTTAACACGGCGTAGCTTTTGCTTATATAGTGAAACTTTATAGCAAAAGCTGCATCTAATATATAAAATTCTCGTGCGGTGTTTGTAGTTAAACTCCTCCGAAACGGCTTGACCGATTCTCATGAAATTTTGTGTGCATATTGGGTATGTCTGAGAATCGGACAACATCTATTTTTCATCCCCCTAAATGTTAAGGGTAGTCCACCCCTAAATTATATTTTTTTAATTTTTAGACAATTTTTTTATTTTTTTATGATACAGCATTAAAAAATACATACAACCCCTAATTTTCACCCCTCTACGATCAACCCCTATTTTTTATTATAAATGATATACATATGTACATGTCAAAACGACGTTTACTAGTATGCTATAAATTTAATGGTCCTGTGAATTGGCTCTCTCTTACAACTTGATGATTAACATTGATATTATTTACAACAGTCTTCCAACTTACCGTAACTTTGCTTACCATAATGAGGTTTAGTTTTCATTTAGTTTTAGTTTTTATTTTGCGGTTGCTTGTTTAATTTTTTCCCATATTAGCTTGCTTATGTTCTAATATAATTGATGTGTATGTGTGTAAAACTTGTGACGTTATATTTACTTGTATAATTAGATGAATACACGTTGTTTTAGAACATATAAATAAATAAATAATAAAAAATATTGAAGAATTTTGTGACACTATCAGCTGTATCGATTTAAAACGTTATAGTAGTTATGAATGTGATAATTAGTTTGACCTTAGAGGTGTTAGTATCATTAACAAAGCACGCGGCTATTAATATATTGAGTTAATTATTTCATGAACAGTTGCGTAATTGACGTTTTTGACAATTTAACACGAAGTTTTGAACGATCATTGATTCAGGTGTAATTTCTAGAAGATTTCCGACTATCGATACTTCATATTCCGACGATATCGCGATTCAATGACAAAATTGTGCTGTAATTTTAGGTATTTTAATTAATTAATTATACATATACATAATAGTATAAACTTATCTATATATATATATATACCTATATTACTGTTCTCTCTCATATATTAATACGTATTTGTTAGAAGAAATTGTGGCAGAAACTTTCAGAGGGCAAACCTCTTGGTAATATTTCTCTACATTACAATATTTATGAATTTAAGTATATTTACGAAATTAAGACTTGCTTTTAATGGAAAACATCGTTATTAAAAAATCGTGAAGCGTGGAAGAATTGTCTATGAAGAAACTATTCAATTAAATAAATGCGCTAAGATTTCATAAGATGTATGTATAAAACTTTAACCAATATTTTTATTGTATTTAAATTTGCTTCTTAGGAAATAAAGAACATTCCACAAGCCTGATAAGGTCATCACCCGGCTAATAATTGGTCATTGTTATTTCATTATCAATATTATAATTTATAGTTGATTGTTTGTTTGATACAAAATGTTACATAACTTTATAAACTATTTGGTAAAGAAATAAACCCTATTTACGGGTGATTAGATTTTTTCCATACACAATAGTTAATTTTGAATACAAGAACTTGTCGTCTTTACGAAATTAATAACTAACATATTAATTTACGTGTTAAAAAGCAACGTTAAACAAACCAGTTTTTTTAATTGTTAGTGCATGGTAATTTTTGTTATTACTGAAAAGGAAAGACCGTAAGAACATTATTAGGTGGAATACAGTAATTAAGCAATTTAATCAGAAAATGAGGCTAGGCTGTTGCTAGCAACAGTCAATAGGCTATTGAAAATGTGTTAAACAGTGTACTGTGTAATCCGTATAAAACATTTTATACGTCAGTCACGTGACACAAAACGGCCTTAGATTAGTCGAATCGACGATAAAGAGCATTTCGTGTAACGCAGGCTCTTTAAATTATGAATGTTTAAAGCCCATTAGGCAGTTGTCGCACCAACGACGAGAAAACGACTAACTATCGGTTATTTTCTCGCTCAAGAAACGTACAATAGATATACTTTCCGTGTGAACAAAAGAGATGCATATACAAACAGTTGATCGCTGACTGTTCACACTGCCGGCGAGCACTCGCTTCACTAGTTTGTCGCTGAGCGACAAGTGCTATGAAAGATAACACTCGCTCGGCGATACTCGCCAAGCGATTATAACTTACGCCGAGAGAGCAACAACCAGTGGTTATTTCTCTACAGTGCGTATCTGAAAGTACACGTTTTTTTAATTTAATATGAATATCGAAAAATCATTAGAATTATCATTGTTATCTAGTTCAGACGACGATGATATGAGTAATCGCCCGCCTCACTCGCACACTCGCTTATAGCCGAGCTACACAAATATCGGAGCTACGCACTCGCTCCCCGCGTCTCGCTAACTCGTTTCTAGTTCTAGCTCTACTCGTTACTCGTTGCCGGTGAGATAAGTGCCTAAGTCTACAAATAAGTTATCCGAACTTTAAAATCTCGTCAAATACCACATTGCAGTGACAGCTCGACTACATTACTACTCCTACTAGATATTTAGAATCAATACTTATTAGTAAAAACCGTGCAAAAATCAGTTCGGTACTTTGGGTTTATAGGGCAGACGCGGCCGGGGATTTTATAATATATTTTTTGTTTAGTCCAAAAATTAATCGGAGCTGCGATATCATAGATTAAAGATAAACTTGCATTGTTGGTCAAACGATGACTAAAAATCGATAATCACTTAATACGTTAAGCGATAATTGATTGTTTGTTTTTAAATTTAACGATTGTCAGAAAAAATACTTACTCTTTATTTTTATAATGTAGCAAAACCAAGCGTAAAAATTACGTAACATTCAACTTCTTCGCTAAAATTATATATTAGTTGATATTCCGCGAATTAAGATTCCATAACCTTAAATAGAACACTAATAAAGTATGAATTATTAGAATTCTGAGTTTGTTTTTAGAAAAATAAATATAATAAACATCAAGTGTCGAGGGAAGATGTTCAGAATAACAATAATATGATAATAAAAAACATATAAAAATATTAGTAGGTACATTTGTTTTTAGCGAAAGCTGTTGCTATTCCCCGAAGGAACGAGGCATTCTGGGGATAAGCTTTTACCATTTAGAAAAGGTGCTTTCCACGTAGCGATGAATGCAAGAGCTCCGATTCAACCCGTGGTTGTATCAAAATACCACCACTTGGACTCGAAAAGGCCGTGGTTTGGATCTGGTAATATTCTTTTTTCTAGAAAACAACATGAAAAATGTTTATTTAATTAAATTTAGCACTCGTAAGCACAAATCCGTACGTACTTGATTCGAAGTAAAAATAATTTCGGTTTTATATCTCTTGGAAACGTTTTTGACAACATTTAGCGATTTAAAATTCAATCATTAATAATTTTAATTTGTTCTACTGTTTTTCCGCCTTTCGAGACTAAATAGACATAGTTTCATAAAATTATCACGTCATTTTGTAATCGGTTCTATAATCTCACGTCATTGTTATCTAATATTTAGATGTACGATATTGTTTTAGATTTTGTGGGTTATAATTACGTTTTCTATTTATAAATTTGTATAAGAAGCTGACATGACTAATTAAATCTTTTCCTGTGCTTGCATTTTATTGAAAACAAAGGCCTTTTATTTTTATAAATTAATTGTCTCACTACTTAGTTGCATGCTATTATTACATCTACCTCTCAGGGTTATTTCGTAATTTAAATAATACGTTTATTTAATGCGATAAAAGACAAAAGAAAAATAAGACCTTGTTGTGTTTTTCAGGGGAAATAATAATAACAATATTGCCATTAATCGAGACTGAGGGTGTGAAAAAGGAGGAAATCTCAACCCTGATTGATGTCGTACAAAATAAAATGCAGGACGAATTTACAAGGACGTCGGCAGAGACCTATGCGCAAAAAGGTTGATTAAGGTATGACTACCTTACCAGTACTATTATTTGTATAATTCTTTATTTAACAAATTAACCTTTAAACATAATTTTTCATTTATTTTTACTATTTAATTTTTAATGATCATTTATTTTTACTATTTACAGCGGCTCCCTAAATTATATTCTAGAAATATCGGATACTTATAAAGTTATTTTGTTTTCACTATTAATATCCGCATATCGATGTTCTGTATAATTTATTTGTTTTTATAAGAATAAAAATCATTGTTTATTTACAAGCTCAAGGTCTAAATTGTATAATAATAGGTATGTTTATATATTTGATATGTCATCGGAAAGTTTATAAACTGGTTATCGGTTATAAACAAGAACGTAATTTTATTACCAATGTTACCTTTTCATGGACTTTGCTAAGAAATTAGCGGAAGGCATTATTTAAACGCTTTCATGGGCTCTGGCCTCTGTTGTTAAACGTTTGGAGTAGTGTTTGAATTAAAGAATAAATAATTAGGCTTAGAATAATCAAGACTCACCTATGAAAATTATTAATGAAACCGTTAAATGGTCTTAAGGACTTTGTTTCAAATTAATGATGATGTTTACCAAACATAAGGGTCGGTAAACTAGTTTAATATCAGCTAGGTGGCTTAATGGTAAACGCACTTGGCGCATAACGCGGAAGGACCACGAAAATGTGATGTGTATTTAAGAAACAGTCAAAGAAATGTGTCTGCCAAAGGTTGAAAAAGCTTCGGAAGAATAATAGAAGATAAAATATAAAAATAATTATTATTTTGTTTCAGGTTGTTAAGACAACGTGAAATGGGGCTGTGATAATTCAAATGTTCGTGGTGTTATAGCTATTTTTATGTATATTAATTTTATACAATAAATTATTTACTAAAACGTTTTTTTAATAATACAACCTTGTCTTAATATAACTTTATTTTGGTTACATAGTCAAATAATACAAAAATAGTGTTTGGCAACAAAAATTATATTGCTTGTGTAGCATGGTTCTTAAGATTTACGTTTTAACATGAATTTTGTTCTAACACAATCGTCCATAAACAATTAAATTGGAGGACCATCGTCATACCAGTAGCTGTACCATGAGCTCGTCAAACAAATCTTGGACAGGATTTAAAACATTTGTATAGGTCTCGTCATAGTTCATAGCGCTAGTAAAAAGTGTTCGTTTGTTTAGGGAATGTCTAATCACCCTGCTGTGGTAGTCTGCGTCCCGCCGAATACCTCGCAACTCTTGTCGCATAGGACTTCTACTGGACTAACTTTAGCGGTATTAAACCGTGATGCGAATCTTAAAGCCCCAAAAACGTTATTTAAAAATCATATAGCGCTGCAATAGCGGAGACTAAGATTTTTCATATTTTACGCTATACTTTGTGAAACTCATGGTAAAGCTTAGTAAATATAATTATGTATAATATACAAAAGTTGATTGCATAATTATTTTATTTATGATCACATAAAAACGTAAACCCTAAAGATCATACTTAAAACACAGGTATATCACAAATTACAATACTTTACAATTAAAAACACAATAAGGGACAATATGTGCTAAAGCGTAGTTTTTTTTATATCTAGAGTAAACTATGCCATAGATAGCATTAAAATCACGAAATATACTTTTCATATGAGTTACAATACTATGGCTAAGATAATACATATGGTTTTTAATACATTGTGTGTAAAGTAAAAGCCGAAGTAAGGAATGTTTCATACATTCTAATAATAGATCTTTCAGTTATAAACAATTCATATTTTTTGTCTAAATATTGTAAAAACATCTTCAATATTAATGTCACAAAATTCAGTAGAAAGAAATTATGAAAGCTATCAATTTATATAATTTTATATTTAATCCCTTAAAAATTATCATCAAATATATTTTCAATAAAAATATATCTCAGATAAGTTCCACTAAATACAGAAAAGTTAGATATAAAAATTCAGTAACATGAATGTATCAAAAATTACTTGAAATATTCCTACGTCAATCAGATAGACTAGTATAATCACAAACACACATTAATCTTAATACCAGTTTATACAATTGTATCTTAACTTGGCTAGTTCTTGCTAACTCACGTGCCGGAAAAATTTCAATTAATTAAAATCAAAAGTGGCCAGCATTTTTTTAAATTATATAAAATATTTTATCTTGTATACACAAAAAATTATTGTTTTTGACATCTCCATGTGTAAATACAACGTATATTAACACCTTTTAGATAACTAAATCAGTCATTAAATCAAGTCAAATTACACTGTTTAAACTAAAGGAATTCGTCTCATTCTGGCTAACTTATTACTGTTATGATAAAAATATTTCAGTTAAAACAGGTGTAGTTAATTTAACATTAAAATCAACCAATAATTACATAGCATATGGAACAAGGGGCAAGGCTCAGGTTAAGCTATAGACACACACTGTATACTTTTAAAGATTATAGTTGATGCTTAATTGTATTATCTGTTGTACGAATTATATTAATTATTTCTGTTTACGCTGTACCAACATTCGAATAATTCATCGAACTCGTAATTGTCGATAATAAAAAATATTTAAGACTGTCGCAACTTTTTTAAGGTTAAATCAAATTTAAATACAATCGATTAAAAAGTAATATACAATTGGGTCACTAATTAACTATAGACTATTGAGAAACCAAATTAATCATTGATGACCCATTTCCAATGAATTAATTCAAATCACGTGCACTCGTATGAAGGTAAGAGTAAAATGTAAGCTTAAATTAACTAATGATTGGTATTCTGTAGAAATACAAAGAGTTTGGTATTCTACATTCGTTTTACAATTTATGGCATCTATACGCGTGTAGTTCGCTGGGAATTAACTGCCTCTTGCTGCAATGGTTATTATTCTAAACGTAATACTAAATATAACTAAACTTAGTAAAATAATTAATACTAAAGGATTTTGACTGGTTTTCTTATTTATTAGTAGTAAAAATTGGCAAAATTTAAAGTACGTCGTAAGTTCATTGTAGAGCGCATTTCTAAAGAATAAATATTAAGAGTCTAATTTCAAGAAAATTTTCGAGCTATTTGACTGTCGATAAAATAGTTTTATTTCTATATAAACTTCATTTATTTCATGTTAACTATTTAAAAAGTCTTCACAAGAACTAAAAACATAAATGAGTAAGAACCGACTTCTTGGCAAATTTGATTGTTATCTAGCGGAATTAGTTAACATATTTTATTTTGGTTGGTTTCAATAATTTTTGACAAGTAACCAGTGGTGTTGCCGCATTACTTTCATAAATAAAATGCACATTAATTAATGTACGTATTTATAGTCGCACATAACGTCAATTGGTAGATAAATATATTTTGAAGAACGGCACTGCGAAGTCTATGATTAGTTGTTGACTGATTAATAGGGCAGATGGTATACATGGTGAACTAACAATAAATCTTTAACACTTCACTGTTTGTATATTTAAACTAATTGTTCCTAAGCTTTGTGCTGAAGTCGGGAAAAATGCGGTCATTTTATAAATAATAATGTATTATACTATTAGCCCCTATGGATCAACCTCAAATTGTGACTCTTTGATAATTTTAGGAGTATCACAAAACTAATTTAAAATGAGCATTTTTGTCTTATAAATCCAAATATTCGATTGGAATGACTTAGCCTTAGAAACTAAACATGCCTAAATTATATATAGTCTTAAAATAAATGGCAACATTACTAAAATTATGATTATTGCACAAGATTCATTGACTATTCTTGCGCTTGCGTTTGGATTCAGTTCAGATTCAGTTCATTCAGTTGGTGTAGTTTAGTTCAGAAATTGCATAACTTGCATGAATGTATTGCAAAGGGACTTTTGCTTGAGTCATTATTCTACAGATCGACACGGCCACTTCGGATTATTTGCAAAGGATAGTGCAGACACAATGAAAATCTTAACCAAAAAATAAAAATATAACTAATGACTAAAGTGTAGTTGTTGAGACTAAGTAAGCAAAAAGTATGTCTGTGGGAGTTATTTCCGTAACTTTTAATTTGAACAAGCTTTGTGTTCGCCTGAGGCACGGGTGTTTGGGTAATTTTTATGAGAAAAATCAATTTACAACATTTTTATTCCGCAGTATCTGTGGTATAAATGGAATTTTAACATCTTAATTCCAGTACGGGTTTCTCGTACATGTCTTATTACGGTTTTATTTTTGAAATTTATATACCAGGGCTACTCTGTAAAGCAAAAAATGTATGCCACTTTTAAACGTAATAATTATGACGTCATCTTAAGTCGAAAATCATTTTGATGTAGGTCTATTAGTCAATGTAGCAAACAAAGAATAACATCAATATTGAAACCAGAATACTTTTTGGAGTTACAGAGTAATCCTGCTGACAGATTTGCTTTACCCAATTACACACGTAATTTGTTTATTATTTAAACGAGAATTTACATACTTCAGTCCTCAGTTTCTAAGGGATAGTTAGGCGGTAAGGCACTAATAACTTCCTTTGATAACTCCTTGTATGCAATTTCCATGATATTCCTCACTTTTGTTATTAACTCTGGTACATCTTCCATTGTTAGACCTTTTGTAGGCACCGGTTCTAGGCATTGGATTATGGCATGACCTAGAAATATAGTGTTTTTATGAAGTAATAAGCAAAAATTCTTTCTTAGTCTTAATTACAACGGAAAGTACAGGAAAAAATCTTTAAGTATATTTAGTAATGAGATCATTAAATCTATACACAGAATTTTGTTTGAATTACAAGTAACAATGTACCGGACATTACTGCCTTTGAGACCTTTTAATCAGATGTATAGTACTAATATTGCCCCGTTAATAAAAAAAGGGCCACTAAACATTCCTTTCATTATTTAATTAAAATATTTTTTGCGTCTGTTCCTTCCAACCCGAAACTGTTTCGTCGAGAATCAAACCTTCAAGTTATACGCCGTGAACTCGATGTTACCCACATCAAGGGTTAGATTTAGTGTTATACTTACACTAAAACACAAAATCTAAGAATATTATTGCATGTGAGACAGATATGTTTAGTTGCACACTGGCTGAATTCACAAAAAGTGTATTATTTATAATAAGTTATAAAAACGTTTAGCTATTAGGTTTTCTTGATTTGTTTATATTATGGATTTAGTTTGATTTTTTTATTAATGAGTTTTCTTTTGTATTACTATTAAGTATTAAACTATTAGTATTTCAAAAACAAAACATAAGCGCAGGTATTTTTAATTTATGTTATTTAAACTTTTACCTTTGCTAAAAATATTTTTCTTTCTGTTAATAAAGTAGTATGGTGATATGACAACTGGAATGATTGGCACCTGAGCTGCAACTGCTATATTGAAACCGCCTTTTTTAAATGGCAGTAACTTCGTAAAATCCTTGTTCCGGGTTCCTTCGGGAAATATCCATATTTTTGTCTGAAATTTAAAAAAACACATATATATTTCAGTTATTTAGAAAGCCCATGTATGACATATCATTCGTAATTACCAGAATTGTCGATGTTTCTATAGAAATAAATAGTCGAATGCAAAGTGCATTCATGTATAGAATAACATACTAAGTGTAGAAATTACGTATCGTACTCTGGTAATAGAACTTGGCTGTTCAGTCAATGGGCACTAGTCATTTATATAATTATCACGATTTGAAACATCATATGCACGGCGTTTGTCAAGCGTTACAATGCGTGTACGCTGGTGTTCCTAGTTTTATTTTCCGGCGAAACGTAACTGTTTCCGCTTGAAAGATATATAATATTTTTCTAATGAACCGAGTTAGAGATTTAACTTAGTAGAACCAGGTGACTCTCTTCTCACCTCTACCTATTGGTACATTTTTGTATATATATATATTATGTATTGACCTAGAGACTAGGTGGGCAATACCCACTAAAACCACCTCGAGTAGTTCCGACAAAGCCGCGTTACAGAGGCTCCGGGATCGCATTCTACCGGGACCTCACCCCATGTTTCACTGAAAAACCTCCGGTGCAGTATACACTACACAGGAGGTAGGAGATGGGCATATCTTCTCCTATTTACTCCCCGTCTTCTTCCCCTAGGATTCGTCCTAAAGCGCTCCCTCTCTCGTTCTGCTGTCTCCTTCTGTAGCATGACATGCTCACAGAAGGATACCACTGCATTCCATACCTCGTCACTGCCGACCATTTTTTGTTCACCACAAGTCAAAGCAAGGTTAACCCACCACAGATTAAGTATTGACCTAGTAGTATCGGCGTGCTACTCTCATTCCTGAAGTCGTAGGTTCTATCCCCGGCTGTGCAACAATGGAGTTTCTGTCTATGCGTGTATCTAACAATGAAGGTTAACATTGTCAGGAAACTGGCATGCCTCAAACTCAAAAATGTACGACATATGCCAGACAAAAGACTGATTACTACTTGTATATGAAACAAAAATGATCAAATAAACGGATGCAGTCTTAGGCCAAGAACCCATACAGAGTAGTAGCGCCACTGTACTAATATTATTACATAGATGGAGAGCAAACCTGCAACTCGTACAGTTAAAAATCATCCATAAACAAGGTTAGCGCTGCTCGTAAATATTTAATCACATTATTCATGATATAGCTAAATATTAGTTTGTAATTTTAAATTCAAATTGCCAAACATTCTATATCTTATTTCGTTTGCTATTGATGCAAATCATTGTTTGAATAATATATGTATTTGATATATTCACTGTATTGATTGTTACTTTATACCGTCAGTTCAAGGTGAGGTTAACTGCATTGGGTTTATTACTAATAAAAGGGCAGTTACGTTTTAATTATACTTAACAATTTCAGTCTTAGCAAGAAAACAACCAGATTTATAACCCTACTACCATAAAGATTATGAAACTAATTCAGACTTATTGTATATTTATAATTGTTGTCAATAAATAGAAAATATTGTTTCAGGAAATATTTTTCGATTAATTATAAAATGGTTTCAATTCGAGTCTAGTGCCTATAATGTCTTATGCCCTTAGCATCTATAGTGGTATAGTTATCGTAAGAAAATAGTACAGATAAATTTTTGTATGCCATATGCACATACTATGCACAGTTTGAATAGAATTTGTGAAGCTTTCAAAAACTGAGATTCGCCTTGACGTATACAAATACTTGACGAAACTCGTAAATGATTGTCACAGATCAAATGATTAATTTGGGTCAAATCAAAGTTTATTGTCTAATTGGAGAGTAGGTGTGTGAACTGTCCTTAAATAAGTTGGTCTAATTCTTATACATTACGTAATTTATGTCTGAGCTAAGTGTGGGTAGCTAGTAGTAATGTCATAAATTTAAATAAAAATAAATGTATCTAATAAGTATTAAGTACAGGAACTTTAGTTGATTTCATATTTGTCCAGTATGAATTGTTTCACTTTAATAATTTTATATAGTAAAATAGTTTTAACAACATTTGAATGAATGTTACATATTCAAATAAGCCTGTTTTGCTATCAAAAGACCATGAATATTTATCATACACTCTACTTTGCCTACTTGAATTAGGAAAAATTTTGATGTTGTTCTATATGAATATGCAATTAAAATTATTTGATAGTTTAAGAGTTAAAGCATGCAGCAGAATGTTTTAATTTTGAGAAATGATGAATTAGGTTTTTGTTACGTATCTGAGATAGTTTCAATTGAACATTTATTTATTCACTCTAGAATAGGTTTAAAATTATCAGAAAAACAGATTCCAATTCTTTTATTAGATCTTATTTCTTAGCAAATGAGGATTTAGAAAGTACCTTATTTTTTATCATCACATCTGACGTAATCTTAAGTTGTTTGTAGGCATCCTTGGTGCTATTCCTGTCAATAAATACAACTCCAGCTAAATATGCGGCAAGACCGAAGGGCCAGATATAAAAGAGTTCTTTTCTTGCAATTGCTGCAACTTTTACTGCTACATGCCATACGTTAAACAAGCCTGAAATAAACAGTAAATATTGTAAAAGTGATTTTTTTTAAATGTTTAGTATTAGAGCTTTATGTGATAAAATAAGGAAATAATGTTCATGTGAGCAATAACAAATGAATAAATTTGAATTTAAGTAATAGTACCCAACATGAAAATAAGCAGCATACTATGGATTCATTTATTCATTCATTTTTAAGTCACTTCATAACATATAACATTGTTGTAAATATATAACATAACTAAATTTTTTCTGGCAATAAATAAAATAGTTTAATGTAACAAATATATCAGTCAGAATATAAAGTTATAAAATTAAAAGAATTTATTAATTATACCTAAAATGTCTAGAGAAGATTGGTGATTTGATATGATAACTGCTCCCCTATCTTCAGCCAATATCCTACCATTCCTTAAATGCCATTTGACCTCAATTAATTTGGTTACATGCTTAACGATTTGGGCTCCACATCTGTAATAAGTTCAATTTAAGATTTTTTATAATAAGAATAGGTTATTAAGATAGGAATTAAAATAAAAAGAAACAGAAAATGTTTAAGTGGAATTATTATTAAGTGCAATTAGGAAAAATTATGAGCAAAACTTAAATATATTTTACCATGCCCAAGTGAGGAATTGTGGGACTTTATGCACACTGCTTGGTTTAAAATAAATTAAAAAAGAAAAATATTAGTGTTTAAAGGAAGTATAAATCTTTAAAATTTTGATGGAGCAATATACTACAAGTAAACCTTTGTAAGGCAATCAATTGATTGTTACTACTTAAGAAATTTATTGCTTAATTAGGTAAATGACTGAACAAGCATTATAGTAGCAAGGAAATATAACAAGTTGTATAATATACTCACAGTGAGTTCTTCACGTTTTTTGGTCGAAATACAAAAAAAGGTAACGTAAATAATGCCACGAAGGAAGTCCAAATGTAAAATACGAGAAACTTCGATTGAAACTTAATATTATTTGGCGTTTCCGAAAATAGTTGCTTGAGTATATAAGTAGCAAGCATTATAACAAATGCGTAAATTATTTTGTCCCACATGTTTTATTCAAATATTTTCATGAAACACTTGAAGTGTAGCAGAATTACAAAGAATGGAAAACCGTTGGGTTGTCAATTATTATGAAATAAAATATTATCTACAATATTATTAAGATAATATGTATCACAGCTTGAAGACTTGTATCTCAAGACAGCATAATAATTATTAAAGATTTTAATAATGTTTAAAATAATATTTGTGGTACACAGAATTTAGTTTATTACAATTATTTACAGATTTTTATAAACACATTAATGCACAAAATTTTTCGTTACTACTTTATTAGAAACGAAATTCACTTATAACTAACTAGTATTTAGATAAAATAATATTATTTATACCGGCAGCGCCCGGCGCGAACCATAAGCAATAAGCTTTAGTAAAAACTAAAAACAATAAACATTAAACAGATTAAAGAATTGATATATATTTTTCAGTTGACAATTAACATTTGATTTACTCATATCGATATTGTGTGACATTTTGGTTTATTTGTTGATAACTGACAGATGACATTTGAGAACTTACATTCAATAGTGATAGATGCTAAAATCGAAACATATTAATTTTTGATGTATGATCCGTTACGTCCATACCAGATAGAGATAGAGAGAAGATGGAAAAGCTTTTATACAAACAATTTATTCGTGGCTAAAACGTATCACCGTGCACAGAATACAACAATCTCTATGATTGTCACAGAACCTACGGGAATGGATACAGAGTATGTTCCTATTTTCTTTAGAAGTTTATGGTAAGATTAAATTAAGCATAATTACCTTCTAAATTCTACAATAGTTTGTTTCTAACTTACTACAAACTAACTGTATTATCGTATTTTTGTTGACGTCTATGGCATATTAAATAATATACAAACATAATAATAATAGCTATAATATCATTAGCCTACTAGTGTATGTGTATAGCCATGTGGTAGAGCACTAAAAACTTCATTACTGAGATCCTTGTAAGTCTTTTCCATTATTTCATGGACCCTTTCCGTTAAAGTTGACACATCATTCATCGTCATTCCTTTCGTTGATATGGGTTCAAGGCATTGAATAATAACGTGACCTGAAATTAAACGAAAGGCGTCACAGCGAATATAGTATGCATCCAATTAGTACCTGTAAAAAAATACTTTTCGGGGAAGCAACCTCTAGTGTTTACAGTAGCCTCGACAGTTAATCATTTATTAAGTAGTTCCAGCTGTATAAACATAAACATACATATACTTTCTACCTGAGCATCAAATTAATCTTACCTTTATTAAATGTATATTTCTTTCTATTTATGAAGTAGTATGGAGAAAATACAACAGGTATGACAGGTTTTTGTGAAGCAATCGCCATAGCAAATGCACCCTTTTTAAAGGGTAAAAGTTTTGTGTAATCTTTGTTCCGGGTTCCTTCTGGGAACAGCCATATTTTTATCTGAAACAGAAAACTTTTCTATGGAAATATTGTTATGATTATAAATACTCGTTAAAATAAAAAAATATATGTACGTAAATAAATAATGTAAAATCTCATTTTACATAAAATGAGAAGAAGTATAACCTTGATATGTAAATCTTGAATTATTTAGAGTGTTTTAATAACCTACCTTCTTGTTCATTGCTTCTGCTGTAACTTCTAATTGTTTATATGCCCCCTTTGTATTTTTCCTATCTATAAATACAACACCTCCGAGGTAAGCTGCCAAACCAAATGGCCATACGTAGAAGATTTCTTTTTTTGCGATGGCCGTTAATTTATCTGCTATATGCCAGATGTTAAAAAGCCCTGAAATGAGTAAATAAATTCAAACTATATTAAACGCTTGTAAACACACGCATACAAATGCTCGGTCCCTTGAAATTCGTTATAAAGAGTGAGAAATGTTTCTTGTAGTGCTAAGAAGTTAGAACTAACCCATATATACCAGACACCCAGAATTTACTTTAGATTAAACATCGTAGAGAAAACATGCACCGTGGAGAAGTCATGATAATTGCTAATATATTTTGTTCTCGATAAGATGGAGGAACATAATAAAGGTAAACCAACCTAATATGTCTAGAGATGATTGATGGTTCGAGACAATGATGGCTCCTCGATCTTCTGATAAAATATCATCTCTCCGTAGCTCCCATTTCAGGCCGTACACCTTTGATATATGTTTAAGAAGGCCAGCTCCCAACCTATAATTAAGTAGAATAAGACCATATTTTTTATATTTACGAATAAGTTCAAATAAATAATATTGCTAATAAGATTTTAAATAGCTTGTTTAAACATCCCGTAATCTTTGCGTTCGTGCTGAACGCGCTAAGTTGAGATTTAGCGCTAAGTATGTCTCCCATATGTCAAAAGTAAACGGGTTTGCACGTTTTTACTGTGAATGTGTGTGTACCCTTAAAGGCTGTATGTTAGATATACAATGTTGTATATAGTTAGTTTTCATATAATTTACACAAAACTGTTAGGCTAAATGACAAAATAAAAAGTATATGCATTTGTTTCACTGATTTTTAGGAACACATAGATAGGCAAACAGTTGTGCTTTTCAATACAAAATAGTTGATGATTATGGTCTAGTAATGTAAAAAAAATTAAAATCAAATTCAAATGACCATTTTAATTAATGTAGGAATACTTACTACTAAATTAAATTAAAATCTTAGCATTTAAATCAAATTCGGGTCGAATTTATATAAAAAACACCCGTCTAGTTTTGTAGTTTATAGTAATATAATATTTAGTAGTATAATAAAATAGTCAATAAGAGAGACATTAAAGTAATAACAAGGGAATTCGGTGATTAATAATTAGTAATTGATATTAAAAAACCGAATTTTATTACTATACACATTGAATTTAGGTTAAATCGAAAGTAAATAAGTTAAAATGTGTTATTATTTTAATATTAGTATGATCATAATTATCTACGAAGTCGATGAACTATCTGGGAAGTGCGCTGTTCAGTTTTTTTATCAAAATCCTCCACGATAAAATAATTCTGATGAAAGACTGATAAACGCCTACGCCTAAAATTACTACTTGATATATCTAAACAAAGATGATCTTATTTACTATTTTAAAATATTACGTCGGTTTTGATTGTAAAGAAAAGTTATAGGAATAATTTTAAATTTTTTACCTAACTGGAAACGTCTTGTAAGATGTGTTATATATACCCAAATAAAGAAAAAAATATTAATTAAACCTTATTTTATAGTTATTTTTACAGCCGCTGGACACAACAATGTCCTATTCCTGCGTTGTGAGTGACCAGACTCTTCCAAGGTGCAATAAAAGAAGATAAACTTAGTACTAAATGATACAGTATTAGAGAAATTGAAAGTGAATCTAAAATTTAGATAAATTTGAGTGGCGTAATATTAATGGGTGTGTGCGAGTATGTGCGTAAACGATTAAAAGATAATATGGAAATGGCTCCCGTGAACACACGTAAAGTTACGTTATATACTTTAACAATACATAAATCTATGTTAAATTTAAAAAAATCCGAAAGACATTACTTAATTTGATCAAAGGTTATCTTAAACTTACTTTGCATTTTTAACATTTTTTGGATTCAGAAGAAAGTATGGCCAAATAAAAGCAGACAAAACACTTCCGGCGAAGTAAAATATAAAAAACTTAAAATGAAATTGAATTTTATTCGGCTCACTTTGCACTATTTTCTTAACTAAATAAATAAAGACTACAGAAATTAAAACCCACAGACTATACCACATCTTTTATCGGAAGAGGAGACGTTAAATTAATGACGTAATTTATTTAATTTTATTAATGACACGGTGGCTACAGTCCATGCTGAAACTCTACTGACCGTAGGCATAGATTCTATTGTCCAATCTCTTGTTATTATGATTAAATAGCGATCCGCAATCAAATCATAGAAACAAATCAAAGATAGGCCAATCAAATTTAATAGAGTTTCTGTCTATGTGCGCATTTAACACCTGGTCATTCGGTGAAAAACGTGGTGGGAAAACCGGCATGCCTTAGATCGAAAATATCTACAGCGTGTGGCAGGCACAAAGGCTGAGCACCTACTTGCCTACTAGAAAAAAAAATAAATGATCACGAACCAGATACAGAAATCTAAGGCACTGACTTGGTTGCAGCCACTCGTTCGTTCCATACTTTTATGTAAATGGAACCATGTCTATATCTCACAATAGACCTTTACATCCTTTGACCTTTAAATTTTTACGTACAATTACAAATATGTAATAAATTTCAATTATCGTTTTTGAAGTGCAGAAAAATAAAATTACCATGTATTTCTAAAATTTTTATTCAATCTCAAAGCACTGCACAGAGTTGGATTGAATCCAAATCTGAATTTTAATCCTCGTTTGGAACATTGTAAATAACTAATATTATTTCAGAAATAAAAAATCTTGCCGCAGGTGCGTTGTCGCAGTGATATGCTGCTTTCGACCTGTATAATATAATAGTATTGGTATACTATGATTGGGTGTTTTATTCATTAAAATTAAACCTGCTGCGTAAACTATAAATTGTAAGTATAGAATAAAACAACGCCAATATTTCATATTTTGTATCATATTTTTACCCCAAATAAGAGAACTAGTGCTCGCACAGAGTTTTGCGGTTAGACCTAAGGAGGCGCTACAACCTCGGCTTGAATCTCAGTTGAGGTTGGCTGAAAATGCTAGACGGGTTTTACGCACTGATGATAGCAAAAGCTATTTAGCCTTGGCGATGTAAGTTGGGCGTACAATCTAACAATATTTTATTATATAATTAATATTTTTTATTAAATAAGTAAGGACAATGTATGAAATCGACAGATTCGTGTGTGCATGTTACAGATGTATACGATATAACTGCAAGAAATTATATAAAATGCGATTATATAAAGAAGTATTCTTGCTTTTTACGAATGTACGGAACCATCCCACATTGTTAACAAATAGTTCGCTTCTCTAGGCTATGTAAGCTCGTGTAGATAAATTGTTACA